CAGGTCTACTATTCAGTAAACATAATCACCTAAAGGTGGAAGTCTTTACAGATGTTGATTGGGCAGGTGTTGTGGATGATAGAAAGTCCACAAGTGGGTATTGCACATTTGTGGGAGGAAACCTAGTGACCTGGAAAAGGAAGAAACAAAGTGTGGTAGCAAGGTCAAGTGCTGAAGCTGAATATAGAGCTATGGCACATGGGGTGGTTGAAGTCCTTTGGCTAAAAAATCTTTTAGGGGAGTTTGGAGTTGTTGTTCATAATCCTATGTCTCTTTACTGTGACAACAAGGCAACCAGAAACATCGCCAGCAACTCTGTCCTACATGAGAGGATTAAGCACATTGAGGTGGACAAACACTTCATAAGGGAAAAATTGGAAAAAAGAGAAATTTGCATCCCTTATGTCAACTCCAAGGAACAACTTGCTGATGTCCTCACAAAAGGACTTCCATACTTGCGGCACAATGAGTTATGTGACAAGGTGGGAATGATAGACATATTCAGCCCAACTTGAGGGGGAGTGTTGTGAGGATTATTTAATTGTTATTTTACAGTTGCTGTTAGTGTGCTGTTAGCCTAAGATGCTGTCAGCCAGTTAGTTTCATTCTTTTTTATTAGTTTGTTACTAGGGAGTGCCACCAGGGGCATACTTGTAATCTTCCATTCCTTTTATACTAAGTTAATATAAATAACTAAACTGGTGGCAGCCAGAAGAGTTTTTTTGTTTGTGTCTCTCAATCATATCTTCCTCTTCTCCTCTTTTCTCTCTTCTCTTCTCTTTCTCTCTCTCGTCTCTCTCTCTCTCCATGAATGATTACAGTTGACATGTAGTAAACTGGTAGGTTGGGGTTGGCTAGAGTAGACTTGATTAATGTAATTTATCCCCCTAAAGAGATATAGTTTCTCTTCCATACAACCAACCTCTTACCACAACTATCAATAGCTGGACTCCAAAACCTACTTTCCCTTGGATTGTCTCCTAGAGGCAAACCTAAGTACTCCAAAGGCCAATCTAGAGTCAAGTTGGAGAGAGATTCAAACAACTTCACCACCCACTTCAAGTATCTTGCCAACTAGGATCCCCACCCTCACAAAAAATGATAGTAATCATCTACAACCTGTAGATGTGTAACTACTAATCCAAGGCTTCCTATCCTCCGGCCTTTAAAGAAACCCATCCTATCAACTCTTCTTAGAAGCCTACTACACACATCTACAACCAAGGTAAATAAAAAAAGTTAAGAGTGGGAAAAAAAATCCTTGACCACTCTGTTAACCACTACTGAGTAATGACAAGTCTTCAAGCAGCCTTCAATCCATCCACACCATCTCTCCCCAAACCCATAGCATCTCAAAGTCTCAAGAAGGAAAGATCAATCCACCAGGTCACAAGCTTTTTCAAGATCCAACCAACTTACACACAAAACCTTTCTTCCTTCTTTTTAAGTCCTCCACACATTCATTGGCGATTAACATTTGGTCAATGATCTGTCTACCTTGAATAAAGACCAATTCCCAATTGTGTTGTATTTTTTAGTTGTTTTTTGATAAATGATTAATGATTACTTTATTAATATCAAGAGCTTAAACCAGTACAAGCATCCCTTGGAGAGGCATGAGTTGTGCCCTCCCCCAAATCAAAAACAAATATAACAGATTAAAAGAAAGTTACAGCTGAGCCTAGTGTAAAGTATCCCTATTTGTCCCTTGTTTGGCTAGAAAATCAGCCAAAGAATTTTCTGATCTCTTAACTCAGTGTACTCTTACATTCATACTCCTTGTATACCATTGAAATTTCTTGATTTCATCTCTATAACACCAAAGGACAGAATCTGGATTTTGCAGCCATCCCACGACAGCATGACTACCTTAGAAACTCCTTCTATTATTAAATTTACCAAACTAAGCTGGTGAGCAATCTGGATTCCTTGTTTTGCAGCAAGCAGTTCAGCCCTAATAGAGTCTCCTTCCCCCATCAGGCCTGAGTAAAGTGCCAAAATATTCCCACCCTTCTCTCTCGCCACCCCTCCTACACCAGACCATCTTGGATTTCCTTGAATACTTCTATTAAAATTAAACTTTAAGTACTCTTTTGGAGGTGGTGTCCAAGCTAGATCTGTTCTATCCTTCTGAGAACTGCTATTGTCCACCACCCTCATCAAAGGAAAACTGGTGAAAACTGTTCACGGTTTTTAACCGGTGTATCACCCTGGTCATCACACACCTTGATTTCTTGTGTACTTCTCTCATTCTCCTGAGAAATTCTTGCATTTTTCTCTTCCCAAATGGACCAAATCAAAGAAAAGAAATATGTAAGTGATAACAAAGGTGGATGGGCCAAATAAAAACTATATCTATGAAGGGAGAGTCCACCTGCACCCAAACAAGAGAAGAACCAATCCCACAATTTTGCAGTAGAAGAACAAGAAATACAAAAGTGACAACAATCCTCTCCATACAAGTAAAGAGGTGGGATAGTGGTAATTAAGCAATATATAAAAACAAGAGGTCATGGGTTCAAGTCTTATTAATTACATTTTAGAAATAAAAAAAAAAATCCTCTCCACTAGATTTGCAAAGAATGCACAAGTAAGGGGATAAACACAGAGAGGATCTTTGCTTTATCAAATTGTCCCAAGGTGTTTTACCTTCCCATAGAACACTTCCCAACAAAGAGCATTAACTTAGTTGTTGAAAAGATGGATGTTGATCATATCAAAAGTTAGTGAGTTTTTGCTCTTATTCCTTGTTTTAATTTTTTATTTATGTTGATTTTTTGTTTGTTTCTACATCTATCAACATCATTTTTTGAGAAATCATCTATCAACATCATTATGCCTATATGCCTCGTTGTTTACATTTTTTATCAGACTGCCTTATTTGCATTAGATCCTAAACACCTCAAAAGGCTTGATAACAGTGGAGCTAAACAAAGAAGGTTCTCCTGAGATTGTGGATAAATTCCTTGACTTATGGTGAGTATTTGGAATTTGTCACTATACTTATGCATCCATCACTTGCTAGTTATTTCAGTCTTCAAAAACTTTTGATTACTCCTTGATAATGTAGGTATGCCGTGATAGTATTCCAAAGTTTGCACTGATATGAGTTTAGCTGAACTAATAAACAACACATGTAAAACATTCCATTGCATTTAGGCTGCATTTTTTTTTTTTTTTTGGGGGGGGGGGGTAAGGGTTGCTTTACCTCTTAAAATGGGCTTTCCAAGAAGTGCTTCCTAAAAGTGCTGATTCGAGAATCACTTTGCATTTTATCAATCAGCTTTGTCTTTATAAAACCCACTTCCCAGTAATGCAGAAGCCATATTTTTTTCCCCTTCTTTGAAACAGGCTTCTACTGCTTTTTCAGACCCAATAAGTCCATTTGTGGCTTTTTTATCAAATGCATTTTTTGAGTGCTTTTAGCTTCCTGGATGCAATAAGCCATAGAAGCACCCCTAAACACAGCTTTATTTCATTGAGACAAATGGATTTGTGATTTTCACCAAGAGGTGATTTTAACACTTGCCATGGATCTTTTATTACCTATAATAATTATGATTTTTGGTAGAGACACTGCAGGAACACCAAACTCTTTTCTTGGTAGTTAACAGAACAGAGAAAATTATAGAAACTTAGAAGCAGATTTTAACATGGTGTTATGAAATGGTTTTATGTTCTTAATTTTTTGAAATTATAATTATAAAAGACATTATTAAACTAAAATATTCATTTTATGTGTTTATATACTTGTTTCTTTTTATTATTTTCTTTTATGTTAGGGTTTAATCTACACACATTGCTAAATGTTCTCTTGAATCCTTAAAGACTTCAAAACCTGAACCAATAAGTAAGGAAGAACTTGAAATTTTGTCTAATCAACACATTTTCTTCTTCTTCTACCTTTTTCTTTTCTTGTTTCTCTATAATAAAAATAGGGGCTCAGCCCCTTCATTTTCTGAACTTACTTTTCTTTCTTTTTTTTCTTCTCACGAATACTTTGGTTTTCTATACTTTAACATGAAGTTTTTGCTTATGAAAATTATGGATAACTATTAAGGAAATATGGTTGCTAGTTGCTACGGAACCTAGGGAACTACCCTAGGATATATAATTTTTTACTTTAAAAAGCCCATCGCCTAGGAAATACCTAGGTGCCTGCCCAGGTGACTGGGCAACAAGGCATCCCCATGTCACCTAGGCTTGCCCTTGCACCTTGAAAACTATGATTAAATTATGCATCTAACTCATGAGGAGTTGCTAGAGAATTACCAAATAGATCTCACAGTGAGGAATTTACAAGGACATGCTTCCTCAGAAATCTTCATGTAGGACGGTCATGTCCAAACATACATAATAGGTGTATTGCAGGAATTGTGCTTGTTTTGAGTCTTGTGGATCCATTGTCTACTTAAAACTACTAGAGTGCAATTTTTATATGTGGAAATACTATGCATTGGGCATCTATTCACGGTTCATTAGAAACCACTTTCATCCACATTAGAAACACTATATTCTTCACTTGTTCATTGTTCTTTGGCATCATATAAAAAACTATCCCTTCTTTAATGCAGCAGAGTTAGTTCTTATTAGCAACGCTCTTTGGCATCATATCAAAAAGTAGTTTCAGATTTTTTTGAAAATTGTCAAAAAACTATAAAAATACCTTAACCCCTCAAGAATTGGAAAAAATTACTGTACTAATTTTCAGCCTACAACCATAATATAAATAGGTAAGTAGTAGACGGGTAGTGAGTTTGACAATTACACCACTTTCATGAATCATAATTCAGCAGATGCATGTGTATGATCAAGTTCAACTTCAATTTTAAGCAATAAAAAAACCATATCTTTGATTTTATTGCTATTTGATATGTTCATATAATTATATAAATATGAGCTTTACATGGCATCATGTTTATGTCTTCATTTCCAAGGCTCAACAAAAAAGGCAACTTTGGGGCAACCCAATATCTTATTTGGTTCCCCTAAAAAAAATTATAGTTGCTATCTATCAAGATATATCAATCAATCATCATCATCAGTATTATTCTCATCAACAAGTTGAATGTTGTCTCATCTTTCTATTCTTCTGGGTGCTTTGTCTGAAGATAGGGCTGTTCTGATCGACCCTAATCCTTGATCTCTGTTCTGAGATTTCAGCAAGAGAGGTCTTCCTGGACCCGAATTAGGCACTCTATAAATATATCATATACCCCAAGTTTGAGGGAGAGTGTGAAGAATCTCACTGATGTACCAGTTTGAGGGGGAGTGAATGGACTTTCTATGGGAACCAGGAGAGATGAAAAAGGATCATTTGCATAAATGGAAGGTGGTATGCAAAATCAAATCTCAAGGTGATTTGGGTATGAGAAACATTGAGTTGAGGAATGCTGCACTTCTGTGGAAGTGGTTGTGGATATTTTTTTTTGATGAATTAGTGGTTGTGGATATTTCCAATGGAAATAGAAAAGTTGTGGCACAAAGTGGTTTTTAGTATACATAGCCGTCAAATTTTAGCTTTATGTACCCCTCCCAGTTAGTGGTGTCCAAGACATACAAACCCAAAGTTTTGAAGAAGATGAGTTAGCCATTTCCAACCACTTCCTATACAAGTCATCCACCGAGAAATCTGAAAATAGCTCTAGAGACTTTAGCTAGATGGGTCCAAAGGATGATTCAATGACAATGATCAATGGGTCCAAAGGATGGCTAACAGCATGGCTGATGTTTTGGCAAAACAAGCGGTTGGGAGAAATAAACCGTTTTGGGATCAATTGTAATTTTCTTTGGTTTTGGAGATAAGTGGTTTTGTCTCCAATTGTACTTGTACTTCCTTTCTCTTCTTTAATCAATGCAAGTTGCAATTATTAATAAAAAAACGCATACATTATATATATATATATATACACACACACACTCTTGGGGCCAGACATTGCTGGTCTGGCATGTAATTCCTTCTAATCTGTTAATGAAATCTACTGTTATGGATAAAAAAAAAGATAACTAGGGAGGGTAGTGACTAAATATCTGTCAAAGAAAAGTGTTAGGAGATAGGTCATTTGTTCCAGCAAACGATGGTTGCTGCCAACGTGGTTGTTATCAGGGATGAGGTGATCTGTGATCATGTGACATCCAGAATCTAAGGTTGGTTATGGTAAAAGGAAAAGAGAATATATTGACAGCAAAGAAACTTCAGTGTCATCAGCTAGGAGTGGTGGTTATTTCTCATAGTCAGCTCGAGAAGGATGCAGAGAGCACAGTGCAGCAGGTGCTCTATTCAGAGCTTCATGTAAATTTAAAGGTTGACAAAGAAATTGAGGAGTCGGAAGATGAGATTCAAAATTTATGAAGAGATTCCTGATTCCTGAGCTATAAAATCAAGGTACTCAAATGTGAGTCTTGTAAATATAGAAAGCAAAATAGAAACCAAGGAGATATGAGTTGTGTTTCGAAATTCTAATCATATAGTGTACAGTTGAAGTATAGGATAAGACCCACTGCAAAAGATCAATGGGAGGAGAATGAGGCTCATAATAGAGGGGTAAACGTGGGGGATGCGGAGGATCAGGGAACTAACAAGGAAGGGCAAATTTAAAATCTTTGAGGAACTAGTGATAATTTGGGATGCTAGAGTTGAAAGCAAGATGGTAGAAATAACAAAAGGTTTTCATTATCTTTGTGGTCCTGAAATGTTGGAAGGGGGAATAACCTAATGGTCCTAATCTCTTCCATCAATTCTGTCATATCGATGAAAATTCTACTCTCTGTCCTATATGTGGCTCTCTTTTCATATTTGCATATAATTTGATAAACTCACTTTTTTTTTGCAGCCAAAAGGGGCACTTCAAAGGCATGCCTTTTCATCGTGTGATAAAAAACTATGTGATTCAAGGTGGAGACTTCCAAAGACTAGGGGCTGCAGAAGATTGGACAATGAAAGGAAAATCTAGTAGCCAACTTGCTACAAGGTTTTTATGAACCACTTTATATTTTTCTGAAGGTCACTTTTATTTTTCAAAGTTCTGACAGGTGTACTTTGTACTTTTAAACATCCAGTCTAAAGCATGAAGCATTTATGCTTGGAACTTCAAAAGGTAAATATGATGGCAAAGGGTTTGAGCTTTTTATCACAACTGCACCCACCACAGATCTAAATGATAAGCTCATTGTGTTTGGACGGGTCATCAAGGGAGAAGATGTTGTTCAGGTACAAAGTAACTTCTCTTTCTCTGTTTTTTCCTTGTGAAAATTACCTAAAAAAATGACAATTTCAATTTTCTATGCCAACAAAACAAAGTGCAACAAGCTCTTTGCACTAATTTTCCATATTTCTAAAGTTGATGCCTACCAAATCTTAAATCTAGCATAAATCCCATCTTTTATGTTGGGAATTTTATTTGTTATGAATAAAAATAAAAAGAATGCTTATTTATATTCTTTCTCCCTGTTATTAGTAATGAAGCTTTGCTTTTTATAATTATATGCTGTCCAAATTCAAAATAGCTAAATGGTTAATTAAATAAAAATATAAAAAAGAAATGATATTTCTAGCTTTCATAAAAAAGTAGAAATGTGAAGGAAAATAAAAACAGAAAAAACTAAACTTTTGGTGAATTTCTCGTAAACAATAATAACAATCAAAATAATTCTATTGCATGTCTGAAAGGCCATTTTAGGAGTAATTGGGTAGAAGTTGAATATAAAGAGTACCTAGCGGATGACATAATTGCTGAAGAAATAAGAACAAGAGGTTCGGAGGCACTGAAGTTGCAAGAAGGGAAAAAGGTTACAGTTTTTTTTTTTTTTTTTTTTTTTTTTTTGCGGAAGGAGACCTATAGTGGTTTAAGTGTTTCCTGGTAGGGGCTGCAAGTTGGTTGAAGTACAAGAGTGGAGGAGGTGTCTAAAGAGTTATGGAAAGTATTTTGAAGTGGAAAATGTTGAAGATTAATTAGTTTTATGATGTTTTTCTGAGTAGATGTTTTATGTTAGTTGTTAGATAGGAGGTGGAGACCACAGGAGTTATGTGAGTCCAAATTTTATTAAAGTTTTTGAGTGTTATATATGCTGTTTTATGTTTTGCTGCCCTATAAGGGCATAGTTATCTTTGTACTGTTCTATTATTTTAGTATAAATAATAAGGGGAGGGGGCGGCCAGATTATTGCTCTTTTCTTTCCAACTTCTCTTCTTCTCCTTCTCTCTTCAAGAAACTACTTTTCTTTTATATTTTTTAATTCAACAGATTTCTACTCGGTATCAGAGCATCGGCTAGGGTTTCTTGAAGCATTCTCATGCAGCCCTAGATCAACCGACTGCATGAAGTAGTAAAGGGCTGATCGATCTGCTATAGATTGCCCAGTTCTTGGAGTTTTTGGTGGGATCTAGTCAGCAGGAAGGTGATCTATTATTTGGCATCAAAATCAGGAAGAACTGGAGTACGGGGAAGAGTCCTAGAAAAGTTGGACTCTTTGTTTTTCATCTGATCTTGGGCGCTCAGGTATTGTTAGTTTTCGTTTGATTTTCTGAAGAGGGCGGTTTGGTTTCTGGAATTTTCTGGGCCTCCCTGAGTGATCGATTCACTTTTTTCTCTGTTGGGAGGTGTGGGGAGGAGAGAGATTTCCCTCCAGCTAGGGTTTTCTTCTTGCAGAAGGGTTGGTTTCTGTATGTGATATTAAATTATTTTTTTAAGGTCTCCAATCTTTTTTTTTCTTACTATTGAACTGTTTGAAGTAAGATGGAGAGTTGGAATACCAAGATGAAATCTATCGGTACTGTGGGACTGGGTGTTGGAGGTAGTAGTGATATTTTTGGGTTTGGGATCATTACTACATTAAAACTTGATGGTACAAATTATTTGGAGTGGGCACAATCAGCTAAGATGGCTATTGGTTCCCGCAGAAAATTAGGGTATCTCACTGGGGAGGAGAAGAAACCTAATACAGACTCTTCCCGATGGGTGCAGGAGAATTACATGGTAATGCCCTGGCTATGTAATTCTATGTTACCTCATATTGTAAAAAAATTCTTATGAGCTAATACTACTAAGGAGTTTTGGGATGGAGTGACTGAAACCTACTCTCAGAAGCAAAATGAAGCCAAAGCCTATCAGTTAAGAAGTCAGGTGATAAGTATGAAACAGGGAGAAAAACCTCTTGCTGTGTATTTCTCTATGCTGAAAGCCCTATGGTAGGAAATAGATCACTTAGAAACTGTGGTATGGGAAAGCGTAAATGATGTGACAACTTATCATAGACTGGTAGAGAGGAATAGGGTTTTTGAGTTCTTGGCAGGGCTGAACCCTGAATTTGACAGTGCTAGGCAGCATGCTCTTTCTAGGGAGGGTGTGATACTCTCTCAGGCCTATGCCTTTGTCTCTGGAGAGGAGAGTAGGAGGAATGTAATGCTGAGACAGCTTGGGATTGACCAGCCGGCTATGGTTGGTACAACAAAACCTAAGCCGAATGGAGACAGGGGGAGTAGTGAGATTAGAAGGGAAGATAAGAAGGACTTGGTGTGTGATTATTGCAAGAAGCCTAAGCATACCAGGGACACTTGTTGGAAGCTTCATCCAAATCTTRTGCCTGCTCGRATAAGRAACAAGAARGRAAATGCAAATGTAGCCACTACAGGAGACTCTTCAGCCCCTCTCTCCCAAACTAATTAGGAATCCATTGCAGTAGCAGCAGTGAGAACAAAATTGGAGAGGTTTGGACAGCTTATGAGTAAGAAAGGTTCACCTAACTCTAGCCTTCCAGATGGACAGCAAAATGCAGGAGCCAACCACACCACTTCCTTTGCACATACAGGTAGTTCATATGCAACAACAAATCTTGCATCCGCTTCAGGTAAGGAGGGACCTCCCTGGATTATAGACTCAGGAGCATCTGAGCATATGACTAATGCCCCTACCATTTTTAGTTCCTATCTGTTGTGCTCTGGTAGAGACAGAGTCTCTATAGCAGATGGTTCACATATGCCCATTGCTGGGAAGGGAACAGTTAGAGTGACTAATGATATAACTCAGTCTCCTGTTTTACATGTCCCTAGACTTCATACCAACCTACTGTCTATTAGTTCTTTGACAAAAAAATTTGAATTGTTCCGTGACCTTTCTTCCTAGTAATTGTGTTTTGTAGGATTTGGAGTTAAAGAAGATGATTGGGAGTGATCATGAGGTGAATGGAGTCTACCTTCTAGATGATATTCCAAGACATCAGGGCCATCATGTTAGCAGCAACAGTAGTAGTGGGTCTGAGTCAGTGAACCAGATTATGCTTTGGCACAATCGCTTGGGACATCTTTCTTTTAGTTCTTTGTAATGTCTTTTTCCCAAAGTTGTTTGAGTCTGTTCAGTTATCTACTTTGGAGTGTGAGAGTTGTCAGTTAGGAAAGCATTGTAGACAATCTTTTAAACCAAGTAATAAAAGAAGTACTGCTTTTAATATTGTTCACACTGATGTATGAGGGCCATATCATATCCCTTCCATGGGAGGATTCCATTACTTTCTCTTGTTTGTGGATGATTATACACGATATTCTTGGATATGTTTGATGAGATCATGTGATGAGGTTCCTAACTTGGTACGATAGTTCTACCAAATGGTTCTCTGACAATTTGGAGTGAGAACTAAAGCTTTTAGATTAGATAATGCCAGAGAGTACTTTGAGAAGGACCTGATCACGTATCTCTTAGAACATGGTGTAGTTCATCAGAGCAGTTGTGCATATACACCGCAACAGAATGGAGTTGTTGAGAGGAAAAACAGACACATGTGGAGGTGGCAAGGAGTCTTATGGTGTGTGCTTCAGTTCCTGTGCAGTTCTGGGGAGATGCAGTTCTTACAGCTGTGCATTTGATTAACCGTGTTCCTTCATGGACTTTGGGGTTTAAGGTGCCATTTAGCCTTCTTTTTCCAGATGGAGAGATATTTCAAATACCTCTGAGGCTTTTTGGTTGTGTTTCTTTTGTTCACATTCTTGATCCTCATTGCAAGAAATTGGATCCTAAGGCCAAGAAATGTGTTTTTCTTGGGTATGCTCAGAACCAAAAGAGGTATTGCTGTTATGACCCAGTGTCGAGGAGCAGATTTATCACTATGGATGTTACCTTCTTTGAATCCACATTCTTCTTCTCGAGTGGTTCTCCTCAGGGGGAGAGTTTTGGGGAGAACTCATAATTTGTTCCTCTTCCTATTTCTGTGGTGCCTCCATCAGTTCAGCCAGCACCTGCACCTCCGGTTTCATTACCTAAGTCACTACGGGCAGCCTCACAGAAATATCAGCACCGGCAAATGATGGTCGACTCCACACATCCTCAACCCACACCACTCTCTGTCAATCCTTTTGAAACTCCAGATTCGACAAATATAGTTCCAGGTATTCCTCTTGAGCCTGAGCCTATTGTGTTTTCTGATGATAATGTTTCTGTCCCTAACACCATTGTTGCAGCTATTCCCACTGACCTTGATCTTCCCATTGCATTTCGTAAGGGGAAGAAAAAGTGTACAGCCCAATGCATTTCACACCATCTTTCCTATAGTGCCTTATCACCCTTATACCGTGCTTTTCTTTCTTCCCTGGATTCTGTGTCTATACCCAGGAATGTTACCGAGGCTCTCTCCAAACTTGAATGGAAAACAACCATGCAAGATGAGATGGATGCTTTGATCAAAAACCAAACTTGGGAAATAGTTGATCTCCCCCCAGACAAGGAGACAGTCGGATGTAGATGGGTATTCACAGTGAAGTAAAAGGCCGATGGCAAGATAGAGAGGTACAAGGCAAGGTTGGTAGCAAAAGAGTATAATCAAACCTATGGTGTTGATTATCTAGAAACCTTTGCACCAATAGCTAAGATGAGTTCAATTCGTAACCTTTTATCTCTAGCAGCCACCTATTCATGGCCCTTGTTCCAACTTGATGTAAAAAATGCTTTCCTCAATGGTGATTTACTGGAGGAGGTATATATGGACATTCCAATAGGCTTTTATGAAAATATTGGTAAAGGAAAGGTGTGCAGACTAAGAAAATCTCTGTATGGACTGAAACAGTCACTAAGGGCTTGGTTTGATAGGTTCAAAGGGGCACTCATCCGTTTTGGATACACACAGACACAGTCTGATCACACCCTCTTTGTGAAGAGGAGAGATGCTCTGGTGTCAATTCTGATTGTTTATGTGGATGATATAGTGGTTACAGGAAATGATCTG